ACTCACAGATTGAACCCTGAAACAACCTCTGGGCCGATCTAAGTCAGGGCATGGCTCACTCACAGATTGAACCCTGAAACAACCTCTGGGCTGATCTAAGTCAGGGCATGGCTCACTCACAGATTGAACCATGAAACAACCTCTGGGCTGACCTAAGTCAAATTGTAATTTAGAGTGTTAAATTTTGCGGAGGGAAGAAACCGAAGATAAACCCTTTAATCAAGGAAGAGACCTAACAAATAGTGAACACACTTGTCTATGTTGTGGTCTAACCTAAATCTTGTTTTCTTCAGGGTAAACCGGTATTAGTTTCGGTAGACAGCAAGAACTATGTTTTCAGCTGGGCCACGTTGGCTGCTTGTCCTCAGAAGGAAACTCCTCAGCCTAATAAATGCCGTGTTTATGATAACAATACGGAATACTTCTATGATGTCAGCCCTTTGAAAAAAACCCCGAATAATTTTATATCGGTAAGTACTGTACTGGATACTTGAACTGACTGGAATAGAGCGCATGCAGTAAAACTATGAAATAAAAACAAAGTTGATACTGACAAATAATAGCTATTTAGTGACTAATAGTTGCTAGCACTCAACCAGAACAGTTATTAAACAAAAGACACAAATGGTCTCTTGTGTATTTGTCTTTGTATGATGAATGTTCTGGTTGAGTGATAGCGACTATTAGTAACTAAATAGTGCTATTTGTCAGTATCAACTTTGTTTTATTTCATGGTTTTACTACATGCGCTCTAATGATGGATTGGGATTGGTAAGTTTGATCATTATGCGAGAGGAGAATGATGATGGATATGGGGATGTTTTGGATGACGTTAATACAGTATGATAATGATGCTTGATGATAATGATGCAGAAAGATGATGATACTGATGATGATGATGGTTAATGACTACGATGACGATTATAGATGATGATGATGACGATGACGTACTGAATGCTCGAACCGACTGGAATAATGATGGATTGGGATTGATAAATAATAATAATAATGATAACAATAATCATGATAAAGTTGATCATAATGTGGGAGAAGACTGATGGTGGGAATTTGACGATGATCAGGATGACTATTACATAGAATGATGATGATGCTTGATAATAGTGATGCAGAAAGATGATAGTGATGATGATGCATGACTACTATCATTGAAGTATAGATGTATGGTAGTATAGAGTCCATGATAAAATGCCTATTACTTGAGATCAACTTGTTTGATAATGACACCAGGCACACCCTTTAACAAAATGTCTTTTGCTATCCAGCTGACAGCACCAGACGGCTCAAAGGTCTATGCTTCTGTGTGCGGCAGCCTCGCGATAAAAGGATGTAATGGAGACGGAGCGTGTAAAATACTTAACAACAAGGCAACATCTCTCGGCAAATTCCAGTACATAAGCATGGCATACTTAAATGATGAGCAAATGCTGCTTCTYAAGTACTGCAGTCAAACTTGTACCCAGCAGGGTGAGGCATAAGGCAAATCTTTTTGACGTTTAGGTCCGAAAACAGAACCATGAGGGATACCATGTTCGGTCATTGACCACGTTTGGGACCTAGAACAGACCCATAAGATTACATGTAAGGTCATAGATCACGATTGGGACCTAGAACAGATCCTTGAGGGATGCCATTTAAGGTCATTTTGTAGAATTATATTTTGACGTATTGTCATGCATGACCAAAGTTGAAAACGGATATTGTTTAAACCTGTACCCAGGAAAGTAAATCACGAGAGCGACAAGGCATTGAGGTTCTATGATAGACCCTTGTGGGAAGCCATGTGAAGACATATTATTTTGTAGGATCATATTTTTCTTACATGGGTTAAGTTAAGAGACAAATCCAGTCATTAACGTTTAGGCCCCAAAACAGAACCGGGGATTGCATGTGAAGACACAGATTATTTTGTATGGTTATATTTTTATTACATGGGTTAAGTTATTAGGTCCCAAAACAGAACCTGAGGGATGCCATGTAAAGAGGTCATACATTTTTTGTAGGATTATATTTTTAACGTGTTGTCTTGCATGGAGTTGAGACGGATAATGTATTAGCCAACAAAGTAGATAAATGGGGCATTCTTGATTCCTCCTGTGTGACTATTAGAAGTGACTATAAGAGACTGTGGTATCTTTTTAGGTGCGAATAAGGTGGTATCTACGATAATGTTTGTTTGTGATGAGAATGCCGTCGACCATGACCAATATTCATTGGACAGTGTTGGGGTAAGTCAACTATCTTGTCAATAAACTCGTTTAGTGCGGATGTAATTTCTTTCCTTTTCAGACCTCATTATTCAAAGTTTTTGTTGTAACATTTTTAGGACGGTGGCGCAAATATCATATGGAAAACCAATCTCGTCTGTCCCCCAGCAAGGCAACAATGTGTCCTCAGTGACAGCGGCTTTTTTTTCGACCTAAAACTTCTCTCAAGCAAAACTAGGAGCTGGCATTATACTTCCAGTAAAGGATACAAGTAAGCCATATGGGATGAACTCATAACTTTCCTTAGCCCTTCGCTCATGCGCGCAAGCGTTCAATAACTTCTTTAGCCGTTGCTACGAAAACGTGTTGCGGGGGATTTCCAAGCGCTGCCAAACTTTAATTCTTCATTAAGAATAATCACACTATAACAAGAAAAACCTGTTTCCCTCTTCAATGCGCATGCCTGAAATAAAAGGTGCTGACCAGACAGCGAAGGCTCATGTACGAATTAGAAGTCTAAGACAATCCAGAATATTTTATCATACTGCTTTGGTTTGTCTGCAGGTTTTGGTTGAATATTTGTCGAGGGGTTGAAGATCAGACAGGTTGTCCTCCTTACGCTACTGTTTGTGCTCAACTTGGCGGGAGAGACTCCGAGATCGTTGCTTTGGGCTACGGCAGAACACAGCAAATTACAAGAAGCCGTGAGTAGCCACACTTTCCTTTCTTCAGTTAATTAGCACCAATTGTCTTACTATTCTCATGAGGGAACAGAAGTTTGAATAAAAAAGAAAATTCGCGAAGCCATCATGCAAACGGCCTATTGATACGAAGTGTTTGATTCGTTCTTTTCAGATGAAGGCAATCAGATACTAGTACGATACACGGGACAATCTAACATCCCTGCCTGCACCAAGAAAGGAATATCTGCTGAAGTCACTTTCCAGTTTACTTGTGGAAGGCATGTTGGAACACCTAAACTTATCTAGTAAGTAAATAATCTTTAGCTGAGAAAAAAAACACTTCAAGAAAGACTCTTAGTCAAAAGCAAACCGGTTGACTCACTTGGTTGATATCGGATTGTTGTGCGGGAGGTCGTGGTTCAAGTCCTGGCCGGTTCAACACTCAGGCTCTCAAAGACTACTTAACTGAGGAGAAAGTGCTGCTTTTGTAATTACATCTGCAATTACATCAGCAATACTATAGACCTTAGACCACGTAAAATGGAGGTCCTCTCTCCCCGTACAACCTTACCATATGCATTGGAGGGACGTCAGTGAATAACTCAGGACGCAACAGGGACCGCGGAGCATATTGAAAAGTGGGGGACTGGCATTTGAAAATTAAGCGTATTGAATCAAATTTCGGATGGAAAACGTTTTTTATTTATATCCGTATTTTTGGCGCCAAACGTGAGGGGACTGTTCAGAAACCATGGCAACTTCGACACTGTGTGGACTTAGTGGACTTTACTCAGTAATGGTTTCTCTATGGACTGATTGTGGGATTGGTATGGGAATTTTAAGAGGGTTGGAAATTTGAGCAATGTGCCTCGAAGGAACCCTGTGTTCCTCTCAAACTTGACTTGTTCAGTAGAAAGTTACGTGTTACCTTTCCCATTAATACTTTTTCTAATAAACATTAATAACCATTAATATTACCATTCTAGTTCCAGTTTTACAGCCTGCTCATTCACGTTCTCTTGGGCGACTAAAGCTGCCTGTAAATCAAGGTACATTTTACATTTTACTTTTAGATTTGCTCTTCATTTTTTCTGATCACCCTTCGATTCAAATGCGTAAATAGTTGCTGGTAAACACAGCCTGGAAGGGAGCCTTCCAAGTGACGGGTGGTAGTGGTGGTGTAGGTGTGTGTATTTGGGGGGTTCAAGGGCAGTTTGGGGGGTAGTGCACTCACCTCTCACTTCTAGGGCCTCACGTTCAATTGATGGACTCGGCATCACATTTTGTTAGAGTTTCTTGCGTCTCTCCCTTGATTTAAGGGGTTTTCTTCTTCTTCTTTTCTTTCTTGTTTTTCCACRCTACGCAAAACCTAACACGCTAAATTCCAGTTCGGTCTGTGAGTTAGGCGTGTCCTGACTTAGATCAGCCTAGAAGTTGTTTCAGGGTATCTATTAAATGTGAAGGTCTTTTCTTCTTCTACAGACCTAAGGAGCTGAAGATGTCTGACTGCCAGACGAAACACCCAGTGACAGGTCGTATCATAGACTTTAAACAGATCGATAAAAGGTTGGTGAACGTTAAATGATAGACACTGCACGCAATGTTTCTCCATTTCCATGAGGCATGGTGAGGCATGATTAGGCATGATGCATGTTGTATGATGCGTGATTCGAGATGCGTGATGCATGTTGCGTGATGCGTGATGCATGATGCATGTTGCGTGATGCATGTTGTATGATGCGTGATTCGAGATGCGTGATGCATGTTGTATGATGCGTGATGCGAGATGCGTGATGCATGTTGTATGATGCGTGATGCGAGATGCGTGATGCATGTTGTATGTTGTATGATGCGTGATGCGAGATGCGTGATGCATGTTGTATGATGCGTGATGCGAGATGCGTGATGCATGTTGCGTGATGCGTGATGCGTGATGCGTGATGTATGTATTCTTCTCCGAACTGTTTCAGTCCCAAACGCGTCCAAGGAGACAAGGGGCAAGTTTATTACTTCAGTCTTTGTGGTAAGCTCGGCTCCAGTGCCCCATCGACGTGCTCTGGTAAATCCCTATGTAGAGGAGACCAAGGATATAGTGTCTTGTCCAAAACACTTCATTACGAAGGTCAGTACGCAACGGAACTAAACATTTCCTTGATTACAGGCTCATTTACTCAGGGTTAGCCTCGTATCAGTGTCTAAATATTCACGAATACCAACGGTAAAGTAAAGAATGCACAACTTCAACAATACAAACACTATGAAAGTCCATGAACCTTCACATGAATATTTTACGTGAACTCAATGCCAACCCTGAGTATCAGAGAACTTGAAACTGGAGTATTCCGCATTAGCCATTCCGGGGTTGAGGAAAAAACTGTATCAAGTTGGCATTGCATTGCATTGTGGGACTGTTTGATTGGACACATTTCCAAGATGGCGTCTGTTTCGTCCCCTAAAACCGCCCCACAATGCACTACAATGCCAACTCGACCCAGTTTCTTTCCTCAATACCGGAATGGCTTATAGCGATACCATTGTGATGTTAATAGGCCAACCATTTTCTCAAAAGCTTGTCACAATCATCGAAACGCTCTTGCTTCCACATGAATAACAAAGGCTTTTGTCGCAAAACAGCACGACGAAAGCGAAGTCGTACCGTATCTTCCCTTGTCCGTAACTTTCGTTGTGATAGTATAACACGCACAAAAACCATGGGAAGCCATTTCACCGTTACAGCATGTTGTACTGTGTACATTTACATGGTTGTCTGTCTTCGCGTTATTGGTTGACAAATGTTATGATGTGTCATTTTAGATTACACCTTCGAGTTGTGGATCAAAACGACCAGTAATTGTCCCGCAAGCCCCAAGAATAAAGAAACATTTATTATTAACTTCCAGTGTTCCGATAAAAATGTAAGTATATGTTTATTAGCTTTTAATAATATCAAGATAAAACAAAGCAAAGATCAATTTCATCGAACCTTGAAACAACCTCTGGGGTGTTCTAAGTCAGGGCATGGCTAACTCACAGGTAGAACCCTGAAACAACCTCTGGGCTGATCTAAGTCAGGGCATGGCTAACTCACAGGTAGAACCCTGAAACAACCTCTGGGCTGATCTAAGTCAGGGCATGGCTATCTCACATCGAAATTTTTTCACATACGTCATGAAAGCTCAGTTCTGCAGTGAAGTCATTTCTACGTCACGATCTCAGATCATCTAGGAGGTATTACACCATGAAGCTAACGTCCTATTAAAACATTTCGCTGAGATATGCTATGTCTTTTAGCAATACTTATGCCGATTGTGTCCCCACAGGAAAGCCCCGTTTTCGAGTACGCTTCAAGTACGTGCCATTACGTGTTTTCGTGGTCTACACCGATAGTCTGTACGAAGGACAAGTAAGTATATTACTACCAAGATAACAGCAGATTTGACATTGCCATGGTAATGTCGTGTTCGAGTATCGACTATCTATTTGTTAATTAGTTCTGGGTGCAAGAGTACCTTGTTTAACCCTCTTGGGTTGTCTCTCTTGCACYCTTCACCTTTCCATTTTTTTTCATTGTAATTTATGTATCACGTATTTATGGTAAATAGAAACCTTTGAACCTTTGAATGACAAGAGAATAACACGTGGTCTGAAAAGGGAAAATATTACAAAGCCCAAGCAAACCCGATCTATTAACGTATGCCGATTAACCTTTATGCTTGTTTTAGGAGTGGTAACATAGATGACAGGACCACAGGAGCTCAGACTGGTTCGTCTTCTGGTAAAAAGGCGGGCATTGCTGTTGCAGTTATTTTCACACTACTTGGTGTCGCAGTACTTATATTTCTCTTACACAATCACAGGAGACGGTAAGATATGTATAACACGTATGAACATTCAATGAGTTTTTCCACTAGATAATCTAATGAACGCACTTCCATGTAGTGAACAGAAATTCTCTCTAAGTTTTTCATTCTTATTTTTTATCCGTCTATTTTCTTCTTTTTCTCATTCTTCTATCCCTTTCATTTGTTTTCTTCAGTTTCAGTTGTTTTTATTTTATTTTTAAATATATATTTTTATTTCTTACTTAATTTTCCTTTCTCCGTCGTTTTTTTCCAGAACCGTCTCTATTGTTCCATTTACTTATTTCATTTCTCATTTTTCTTCCATTCTTTCCCTTTATACCCCAGAAATTCTCTTCACTTATCACAATTACCTCTTCCCAGTCCCTCTCTTTCCCTTCCACCGCTGACCAGGCATAAAAACTTACTAATTTAAGTACATTGGTTAACTCATTTATTCACACTCCCTTTTTTCCCCAGAAATGCACTGCTTGTGTTTGTTCGTTCTATTGTTAGAAGAATTCGACGTAAAGGAGGAGTCAAACGCTCAAACGCTGTGTATAAATATCAAAAGGTAACAGAAATCTCTTATCGAAAACAATGGCAGACTCATTACGGTAGACCCTGAAAAATTGAAGTTAAAGTCATATCGTGTAAACATTGTGTGGTGGGATACCTGTGGCAAATTTTCACTGTTGGCTTCTGTTGACCCTGATATTAAAATTGAGAATCTGTAGCGATGGTCTTCCTGTGTTTTATTTTCCAGATAACAGTCGAAGACGAAGAGGACAACGATCTTCTCCTTGGATTCAGTGACGACGAGGAGGAGCACGAACATGACCACGAAGAAGACGACGAAGAAATGCTTACGTTATGATAATGTCATACAGACATACAGGCCGAGATGGACTGGTCCTCATACCGCTTGGGACTGGTGCCCAGGGTTAAGAGGACTGGTATCTAGTCAGTGGAGGACTGGGTACATAAACCGAGAAGAGCCTGGTAACTAGCATGTGAAGAGATTAGCAAGACTTACATCGGCCTTTAAGCAAAAGTTAAGTTTAGTGCACGTTCATTCACTGAAACCTGTTAGTCACAGAGCAACAGTTTAACCCCTCAGGGGCTCCCATGGGAGTATTTTTCCTCACAGTTGTGGTCAAAGTCATATTGTGAAGACTTCACGTTCCAGACATCGCACTGGTTAAGTATTACTTATTTGTCAGGGGGGAGGGGTCGGTAAGTAGTTTTCTAATAAGATTTTATTTTCTAGAAAATTGTTTAGGAAACAAATTGTGATAGGGTTTAATAGTTCGTTTATAATTCAAGGGGTAGGGACCAAAGATAAAATAGTCCGACAATTTTACCCATACCTCCCCTGCTAGTAGTTAATAGCACGAAATGAATTCAGCCAATCAATACGTCAATGACGTCATATTTATATAAATACATTGATATAACGAAAATATGACGCAAACTTAAAGTCAAGGATATGATTATCTGTAAAAAAAGTCTAAAAATGTGTAAAACGACATGGTTGGGTCTAACCAGTAAAATCGTACAGGCGTTCCAATTTGTAAAGCTAGGGAGTTGGGGCGAGGAACAATGGCATGGAGCACTTACCCCTAGATAATTTCATCGCACAAGAGAATACCAGTATTTTTTTTTTTTTTTTTTTTTGTATTTCACTGTTTTCTATTCGTATTTTTTTAATTTCAACTTCCTTTGATTTCATTGGTACATCATTATTAAGCGAAGTAACCATTGCAATCAATTTGGTTGCACTATAAGTCATGATTATCAGGATAATATTAACAATAATTTAAGTATTATTGAAAACGCTTCATATGAATAATTTAATTTGTATGCCGCTTATTCCAAGATGGCGCCCGGCCGAGAAAAGCTAGGTCGAAACAAGAGAGCTCGGAATTTTTATTAGGGGTTGGTTCACACTTCAACATAAGCATTAACATTAGCATAAGAAACATAGTACTATTGTAATGCTTATGCTTATGCTTAAGTACGTTCGGTTCACACTTTGGATTTCACAAGCATAAGCATAAGCATAAGAAAATGGAAAAGTTTCAATTCCTTATAATTTGTGCGAGCTTCACACTTTTCTTACGCTTAAGTTTATGCTTATCTTATTATCTTATGTTAAAGTGTGAACCAGCCCTAAAAGTAAGCTTTGCGCATGCCTTTTAGTGACATTTGCTATGACTGTGAAAAGTCACGCCACATGGCACGGTCATGGTTTAACCAATCACAACGCTAGAAATTACAGCGCTGCATTTCACGTGATTTCAATTGGTAGTCATTCGAAAATTACTTCAATGTAAACTGGTTGGAAAATTGAAAATGATTTCTAATGCTTTCATTAAATAAAGTCTTTGTTAAGATTCGATATTATTAAACATAATATTAATATTCCAAGAGGAAGATAGAGTTTTTATAAATAAAATGCTTCAATAATTAAAAAAAAAAAGAAAAAAAAGAAATTAAAATCGAATAAAATAAAGATAAATTAAATTCTTACGTATACTTGAGAATCTCAATCCATTTTAATGTTATGCGCCTTGAGGAAACTATTCATGTCAAACCACGTCATTCTCTTGAGTATGATGCGTGGTCTTTTTGTTGGTTAGAGCAGTTTTCGTATGACTTTCAAAAACTCACGGCACTAACACGCTCATGACACGCCAAAGGATGCGCCAGACCAATCGCATTGCTCAAGAATTTACTCTTCATCCAGTCAAATACCCGGAACACGACATAAATACGGCGCGGACAAGGTCACTCAAAGGTCGCGGCACCAGACCAATCACATAGTGCGAGAAAAAAATCAGCCAATTAAAATCCTATAAAACATCACGGTTACGGCACGGCACGCTTACGGCACTGAGCTTTTCACAGTCGTGCGATAATTGTTCTATGATGATGGTGGTAATAAGGAGGAGGAGGAGGAGGACGCTGGTTAAAAAGGTGATGATGGTCGCGAAGATGGTGGTAATGATTAAGCCATTTGGAAAAAAACATTTAAACTAGCTTAATAAGCCTGAAGCGAGATGACGTTTTACCCCCGTCCCTAGACCATAATCCTTTTCACATCACTCTTGTTCTTTAATTATGACTATTGTTCCTGTATTCTCTAAGGAATCAAAAATTTTAATATGAAAGAATTTAAAAAACTATTATGGTATAGAGTCGGGGGTAAAACGTCATCTCGCTTCAGGCTTATTCAAAATCTAACCACACCGGGTGAAAAAGGTACTACTTTTCAAAGGTCAGCTAAATTTTTGTTTACTTTATTTCACATTTTTATGATTTCTTTTGAGGTTTTAAGGATCCTCTTACATTTTCTTATATGACACCACAGACAACTAGCTTGGGTGAACTTATAAAATATAAAGACTAGTCACAAATCGTTTGTAAAATTCAACCAAGATAGCGACTGCAGGAACCAAATTTCTCACAATATTACATGTTTTTCCATTTGATTATCAAGATATTTTTGCGATCCTAGAGCGCTTGTTTGCAGCTTTACTCAAAGGTATCACGTGACATCCAACATCCCGTGACGACTTAATAATTTTCTCATATTATTACATGCTTTTTTTATTTTAATCTTCAAGAGATGTTTGATTTAGGGCCTTAATTTCAACGGAATTCAACCAAATTACTTAAATAATTTCTTAATCTCAATTGATTTTAAAATTATTTATTATTTTCGCAAAGAAAGATTACAACGTTAGTGCCTCGTTATCGAGTGAAGGCTTGGTTGGCATTTCAATATGGCGGACAAGAAGAGAAAAGTGATTCTTCTTTGGATTATTTACAAAGCTGCAAAGACGACGCCTTTTGACTTATTAATTCAGGTATTTACAAAGTACAAGAGATTTTTAATCTTATGTTAAAGATCTTAGGTTGGCTATAATAAGAAATGTTAATCTTGTAGTCGCGCAAAAACTGTCTATAATATGAGTCCGCCATGTTGTGTCTGTTGTTCTGGCGGAAGGTTTTTTCGGACAAACTCTTTTCATTGAATCCTATTTTTCGTGTACTAGTAAGATTTTCTTTAGAATCTAAAGGTTTTTGTATATTTTTTATTTCGTCGACCCCAAAAAAGTGGCCGCGTTGACTGAAGTTGGATTAAATTCTTCTTAACATTCGTCGTGTATAGTAAGCTTTATACATTTTCAAAGGTTCTTAGTTGCAAAGTGTTTATAAGATAAGATAGTCTTGGATCCTGAATGACTCGTACTTTCCCAGAGTACACCGCAGGAGATGGAAAATTCCGGGCTGAATGACATGGCTTATAAAATAGCATACATATAGACCCCTAGCAGCACTTTGGAATGCAGCTCAATCTGGGGGACAAAAACAATAGGTTCCAATTCTCAGGAGATTGGAATTCTTTTGTTTTGTCCCCCAGATTGAGCTGCTTTGACATCACTTGCAAGGGGTCTATTGCTTAGAAACTTCAATCCAGCATGAACAAAGAACATTGTTGGAACAGATATTTTTGTCTCAATCCCAATAGTCTTTCATAGTCTCCTTTTATATGGATTGGACTTTGGCTTAGTGTAAGCTGTGAGCCGTTATATCGTCCCCAAGATATTTTGTAATATATTTTATGCTTATGACATCTTTTGATAGTTTTCACAGCCGTCATGTTGGATAAATTTAGCAAAAGATTCATCATCCGTATCTTGTTATGTAGTCCAACATGGCCGCTGTGTGCTTTGTTATTTTATTCTCTTCTTGGGAATGATTGAAAACCAGCAATAAGCCTGAAGCGAGATGACGTTTTACCCCCGACTCTATACCATAATAGTTTTTAAATTTCTTTCATATTAAAATTTTTCATTCCTTAGAGAGTGCAGGAACAATAGCCATAATTAAAGAACAAAAGCAATGTGAAAAGGATTATGGTCTAGAGACGGGGTTAAAAGGTCATCTTGCTTCAGGCTTATAGAACTCTTTACCTCATGCATTAAAATTTCTCATTTCAGACCATGTCATTCCCTGGAGTATTATTTCTTTGTTTAACGGTTGCACATGAGAAAACACATAAATATGGATACAACTTAAACAAAGAGTCTTATATTCAAGGGGAATGACATGTGGTCTGGGAAATCTTTATAGACCCCTTGCAGTACGTCGGAATGCAGCTCAATCTGGGGGACAAAATAATAAGTTCCAATTCTCAGGAGATTAGAATTCTTTTGTTTTGTCCCCCAGATYGAGCTGCTTTGACGTCTCATGCAAGGGGCGTATGCACAAGCTGTAAACATTTTGCCATTATAAATGGATTTATTTGCATCAAATAGCATCTGAGCGATGCAGCGATGCTTTTGTGTGTAGGTATTTCAAACTCTATCTTTTTGTTTTGTTGTGCCTCATGATTAAATAGTCTTTAAATTGAGAATTGACATCAAATTGAGGGAAAAAAGGCTGATATAGTCTTGCGTGTAGTCCTTTAATGTCTTTAGCCATCTTCGCCTCGCAATGAAAACTAGCCTTTCGAAGATGTATGAAAGCAAGGCTTTATTGGCTGAAGCACTCTTCAACTCACTCTAATGAAATGCGGCTTACAGAAGCATCAAAGTGAGGCCCATAGGACATTGATAGTCTGTCATGATGTAATACGACTTGTCCTTCATCACTTCGCACATCAAACTGAGGCCAGTAGGGCTGAGATATTGTAGTGTACAAGTGAAAACCGTCTTTAAATTAACTTGCTTCGTTTTTGTCCATATTAAACTAAGCTTCCCACGTACCTTTCCTGTTCGTGCTCCTCTATCGTCTCGCTATTTACTAATTCTGATATTTAAACCATCGCAAGTTTATGTCACCCTGAAGATATTCACATCAAATACAAGCAACACCAACAGAGAGAGTGCAAACTTACAGATAATACTATGAAGACCGCTGGACAAGGTAGACATGGCACCGTTTCGTCGAGAAAACACGTCTCGTTCGTAAACCTCAATGATGGGCTTCCTGGGGCTGGGAGATACTTTAATGACTTCCTGGGTTGCTTTTATTGGCTCGTTTGACCTATCAGGTTCTGATGTGCTATTACTTGTGCTGTTATCTGTGACGTAAGTTGATGATAAGTTGGTGTTTGGCTCCATTGTTTGTTCTAAAGACGTCGTAGTCGTAAGACCGGTCGTTGGCAAGGGTGTGGTCGTGGGTGTGGTCGTTGGTGGTTCCTTAGTGGTTGGCTTGACAACTGTTGACAAAAAAGTATAAGTATTGACATCACAGCTTATTGTATAATTGATAGTCACGTGACCTAACATATATGGTATAGTCTACTTACCACAACTAAAAATCACGGTGACATACTTGTAAACGTTGACACAAAAAGCACCAAGATTACGATCGTCCACGTCGAAGCTACACTCTGTTTTCCCCACGCAAAGTTTATCTACATTGGGCTTAACGTTATTTTCTCCACAGTCTCTGACAACCTGTCGATCTGAGTTCGGTTGACAGATATTCTTTTCGGACAAAAGGCGACCGTATTTTGCCGATAAAATCTTGACGCTCAATGATCTGTGAGGACAAGAAATATGCATGATCTGGTCATCGCACGCGTACATCACTTTAGGGACGGTTGATTTCTGAGCATCTGAATGAAAAAAAACAGTTTTAACGTATTTTAACCACCGTCACGTGATGGCAGTCATGAAAGGAGGTCCATGTCAACATTAGAGTTTTTCCGCTGGGAAACTGAATTTTTTTCTCCTTGTAAATCAGATCAGACTACATCCAGTAGCCCACTTTCCGAGATATGCTTTGCTTGTCGTGTACAAAGGTTTCAGTACGAGGCTACGTGCTATTATCACTAAGCATTATGCACGAAGTCTCGCGTTGAATCCTTTGTGCGTGATAAGCGAGGCATGCATGAAGAAGTGGGCTATTGGTCATGCCTCCTGTCATGGCTGCCATCACGTGATAGTTTTGCAAGATTAAAATTTGCATTTCTGTTTTGAGGGTTTTGGGTGAACACGAAAAAGCTATGTCAGAATGTGTACAAAGCGGAAACCAAAATAGCAGACTACAATCCTTTGMGCATTGTAATTTAGTAAAGAGCGCATTGTTCCTCGGTGCTGACCATAAGGATTGCAGGCTTTAGGTATATGACATTGGTAAAAATAGGAAGCCCTGTACGAAGCGCGCGAAAACAGCAGTTTCAAACGTGAGGTCTAGAGGTTACTCCTCTCTTAGTTTTCTTTGGTGTTTAATCTTGAGGAACTCGTRCACCAATCACTCGTACACAACTGACCAATCAAAATCCTTTATGTCAATAGGTTATCAACATAACTGCGGGAATCCATTTAAGTGTTRGGTGCCGAAAAAGAAATGGGATGAGACACTTTGGCGCCAGAATCCATGGTGGCCAAATGATAGGGCTAAAATATTATCAATGTCCTGGAGCGATGTGATTCGTTATTCGATATTACACTTGTATAGGATGTCTGAAAATGGCTGTGCATCAAATGAGTTGATTAATCGCGTGCCAAATTCAAGTGCTTAACTCTTTACCATAGTAAGAACAAAAACATTGAAAGCCTTAGAAGTGTCTGAAAAATCATTAATACGTTAGTTGTATTGATAGAAGTTTAAATCGGAATATTTCGTTTTCTTCAGTGTTAATGAAATAAATTTTTAAAAGAAAAAACAGCGAAATAGACAAAGCTTTCTGTAATCTTTCAGATATTATTAATTTTGATTTCGTGATTATAATAGTTCACAATAATTTAATAATAKTTTTAGATTCCATGAGTGAAATTTACTAAATTCTTCGAGTTCATACAGTCTTACAAAGCTTAAAAACATAAAAAATGCTTTGCCAATTTTTTTAATGAATTTTTTATCTCAACTAAGATTCTAACATCGAAGTTGACATCAAAATCAAAAATATTGTTGCGATGTTTATCTTATGTTTATGCCTAAAAGATGTTGAAAATCTCGAGTACAAACTCATTGACAATATTTTCAAGGGTTATCGGGGAGTGGCCTTTTCAAGTATTGCATTTTAAGACCAATATGACAAGACGTACCAAAGCTACAATATGCTAAAAAACACCAATTCATCTGCACTAATCTTGTCTTAGGATAAATTTAGCTTTCCAAAAATTTAGTTAAATTTAGCTTTAAAATTTCTCGAAATTTCTGTGATATTTAACTTGTTATTTTTCCATACGTCAGTCTTTAAATTGCCCATTCTTTCATTTATTTGTTATCACCAATACCTAATAATAAGAGAACATACTAGAAAGCTCTTCTTAGCTACTACGATAACAATGAATATTTTTCTTCAAACTTATCTTTAAATTTCGGCTTATCGTTTTGGTGTATTTCAATCATTCTTTTGATCGTTTGATAAATACCTGACCAAGATCCGAATCTCATTATTATTATACGAACAAAAAGTTTGGGATGCTGGAATTTTCGTCGATCCCTTTGAAAATTCAGTTTCTTTGATTTTTCTTTTCTTTTTTTCCTTTTTTTTTTTCTTTTTCTTTTTTCTTTTCTTTACAGACTGGAAATTTTTGACTCGTAATATTTTTATTCTTATTTTAGGAAGTAAAAAGATGACGTGATAATGTGGTTTATTGAATAATTCTACGATGCTTCTCGAGATATATCGTAACGAAGAGAAATAACTAATATTTAAGACCTTCAAAGCGATATTTTTATTTCTCGTACGGAATGCATAAGCAAAAATATGTTTTTATCGTCTCCAAAAGCTTAATTTTTGAATGCAAATTTTAGTATCAATTTTGTTTTTGCTAATGCAAATATTTCATGTTTATCCAAGATATTTCTTCTAGAAATCATGTTTTTGTGTGATTAGAAGAAGAGTGGCTTTAATTGTTCTTCAGAAATAAGAATTAAAACAAAACTCGATAATTCACAAATAGGAATCGTGATAGGATGTTTCACAGCCGGGGGCCTTCAGAATATTGATGAGCCATCTCGTGTATAAGGTTACCTTTAAAAAATATAATTTAAAATAGCTCTCTATTTTCGCCAGCGAAAAATGGCTTCAATTAAGTCAAAGAGTCACGCTTAATACATGATTTACAGAACCACATGGAATAGCAACTCCGGGTTATGACTCGAGATCAGAGAGATAGTTTGTCAACACACCAAGATAACCCAAGTATCATCTTGATTTTCAAGTGTCTATTAAAATATACATGCAAACATTTGACTTCTTGTGTAATGGAACTGCAAGCTGCATTTCTGACAGTCAAGAACATGATAAGAACCGACTTGTAAGCCATGTTTTAAAGAAATAATATGTATTTATCAAAATACAAATTAGGCGATCAATTGAAGAAAAACTACCATGCCGTGCTTGCGAAAGTTTTGACTAAAACACAGTCTCAACACTAAAAGCCGAGGGCATTGAAGACTCAGGCCCCAGAATTTCGCGAAAATGATATTAAATCCTACTAAGTGTTTCTACGACGCCCTGAAATGTTTTATTATTTTTGGCGTTTCGTTTTGAGAAACAGACTCTAGTACGCGCCGCCGTACTCATCCGCGGGAACCCAGCGATAACGTTCTGTCGCTTGTTTCTCGCTTTCATTTCTAGAAGGGACAAACGTGCTTCAGAAAAATTCTCGCTTCCAGAAAAAATCATGTTAAAGTATTATTTCTAGGAGCGACAAACGAGCGACAGAATTTTATATCCCAGGGTTTCCGAGTGGTTGTACTGAAGTGAAGAGACAATCCTTTGTCAGATGTTCAGAAGTTTATAGTATAGCATTTGTCAGTGAGTCAATGTGGACATCACTCTGTCATGGCGGGATCCTGGAGTTACAGATGAGGCGAGTAATCGTGGCACAGCTGCCGAGAGTAAATTCCCGCCATTTTGACTGACATCCGTCTGAAGATGGCGCAAGCTATTGCTCAAGGCAAATTCGGAAGCTCACTGTTTTTTTATTTTAAGTTAATCTTTGAATTAGAAAGTATTCAAATAAAGAAAGTTTTGTTATTTTTCCTTTCTTCATCGTTGAGACTGCTGCTTTTTTTGCTGGTTCTAGATCTGAGATAAATCAGTTTTCTGCGAATAAAAATCTTCCGGTATTTTGACTTTGCTAGAATTATCTAATCTAACAAAAATATTCCAAAAATTCAACAATAATTTTCTTTCTTTCTAAAATCGATTCATTTTTGCTTAGTTTTTCGTTACGTTATGCGGTTTCGTTTTGCTTAAACTGTCATTCAAATTCTAGCCCTCAGAGTTTCGTACTAAATGGTATAAAAATGATCTTGCAACTTATCTAGCTTATGAATGGCTTTTCCCGCTTAGCTTTGGCAGATTTGGACACCGAAAAATGAATTAAGACATCTATTGCGATGCTTAAAATTTTGATTATAATAGCCTATTTGTGTAATGTTTTCAAATTGAATTACACGTCCGACACGACTTTGGTTGGCCGTCCTTATTTAGGGAAGTCTTATTCCATAACATAACCTTAGCTTGGACATATATTTACGCTTAAACATGTAGCTTTTTTTAGTTTTGAAAAAGGGTTTCGGTTTCCCTGCTGAGAGTAAGTCGCCAAAGATGAAACACCGTGTTATAAATTATATCTAGTGTTTTTCAAACACTTTTTCAATCTTTTTTGTAATTCAGCAAAGACTTAAAGAAAACATTTGAAGGAAAACTTTAACTTTTCTCTCTCTAAATTTTAAAAAAATTCGAGCACTTAGCGCGACGAACAGCCGTACATTTTACGTTGTACAATAGTAGCGTGCATTTAAAAAATATCATTTCATGTTTTCAGCGTTCTTATGGTCACTTTTATGATAATTACATAAATTGGTGATGGTTAAAATCGGCTTATTCCCACGGTTCAATTCTGCTGTTTCGTAGTTGACCTAAGTTAAACGCAGCGAATCCCGTTTACTACAGACAAGTGTTTTATTTATTGGTTGAATAAATCAACGCTGGTCCGCGTGCTTTCTAGGGCATTGAGAGTCGAAATGGTTTTCTTTCGAAATTGCCCCCTTGAGAATGCGATAACAAAAAGCGATATCAGCTTTAGTGTCATTTGTTATCAACAATTACGGTCACAAGGAATTCAAAAATGCTTGTATTTTGAGTAAAATAAAAGTTCGATTTTTGACCCGAGAGTTTTAGTTCAAATTCCTTGAATTTTAGTCCGCAAATTTGGCAAAGATTTTTCTCAAGTTTTTTTCTCTAAGTTGAAATTCGATTGAGAGAATTCAAACGGACTAAAGCTGGGGCTTTACAAGGGAAAATTTGCGTTTGAAGATTAGTAGAGAATACTGAACCGCGAGTAACAAGCATAAGTAGTTCTGAGGAAGTTGAGCAAAACGTTAAAGATGAAAAAAAATTTCACGTGTATGTGGACCTGTCTCAATGCCTCAGTAATCAAAATAACTCTACGGTATTAAACAAATAGCTTTGACTTACCACACCGGCTCACAGAATTGAATAATCCCCCGCCAAGAAAAATCAAAAAAAGCGAGAAAAAACCTTGTGGAAATCCCTTCATTTTGGAAATCATGAACACTGTGAAAACTCGAACTAGTGGCTGGTCTATAAACCTAGTGACAGACACTAGCCTTGTCTTGGTGTTGTCTTTGCTATTGAGTTCGTCATAAGGACTTGTGTACAGTGAGCCAAGTGATAGGATAGACAACTTGGGCTATTCATCTTGACTCCTCCCTCTTATTAACGCCAGTTGCTTATTAGCACAGGTTTAAAGACAGATTCTCTATCAATAATTCATCACCGTGTACTCTCTCTTGTTTCGCTATTCACCTCTTAAAATGTTAACATTGTCTATAGACAATGGGGACAAGAAAGGCTAAAATTTTCTATGAYCTACTTTGCTGTACTAGGTTTTTGTATTGTAAATTGGACTCGGCCGGCCTTGAATTTTGAATGTGTTTTGGAATTTTATCATTGATATGTTCAGGCCTGATGATGCTTGTAGTGACTGACTCGAGTAGTCTCAAAATAGATTCTGGGGTTAAGAGGCGTGCTTAATTGTGTGGTTTGAAACTGTACAATCAGAAACGGTGATCTGAATTTATTGATACTCATCAACCACTAAGATATCTTTGGCTGGAAGAGCTGGGTTCCCGCAAAGAGTCTTTTGAATACCATCTGCAATTTTGCTTGCTGAACTCTTTCTCTCACACTGGGYTGCATTTCTAATCATTTCGCCTAACAATACAGAGATATTTTCTTTTCTCTTATACGCAATGTACTCCAAGCGAACCACAAAACAATCTTATAGAACCGCCAGTCAGCGTAATACATTTTTAATTTTTGCGTTTTACCAAGAAAAGAAATAAAAATAACAGCGACTTTCGAGATTTCAGTTACCATGACGACGACACCCTCAACTGACACCTTAAAAACGCAAGGGCAGTTCAATACATATTTTTTACATCAAAGAGACCGGCGTTTAATTGGAATTATTGCTCGCGTTCAAAAATAACCTATAATTGATAGTAGTGTATACAGAGTACTGCACCAGACGTCTGGGATGGCATTGGGTATGAAAGGCGACAAAAGGACTCTGAGGTGACACTACTTCCTACTAATGAAGACTATGTAGAAAGTAGCGCGTCTAAAACTCTTCACAAACTAGGAAATGGTAGAGYACTATATTATCTCCACATCACACTTTATTTCATTGAAAAGAAAAAGTAGTTCTTGACAACAAAAACGTACATGAAYTTTTTTCTCAGTTTGTACGGCGCCATTCTCACCGAGTGTGCTGAGTATACTTAAACTTAATCTGTCGTAAAAAATTACTTACTTACTACTTTCAATTTTTTTCTACAGTTAAGACTACCTATATTTATATAATTCATATTTCTCTTATTTCATTTGACACAAATCACAAAAAAACAAAAAAAATTAACAGGTAAAATTATATTGATATTTTTCGTATCAAGCTTGTTCCGTCTTAAATTACCCCCTTATGAAAGTTCCCGAATTTTTGCAATTTTGCCTCGTTATTATTTTCAATTTTCACTGATATTGAATGTAACTGACTCGCGTCTATAAACTTCAAAACCAGACGAACAAATTAGTATGTGTAAAATAAAGAATCATTATGTACACAAAATCCATAAACAGAATCTACATTCAGCCTACTCCAACCACAAMTACAAACACGAGGATTAAAGTATTTACCTTTTTTGAATTGGATTTTCTTCACACGTGTTTTRTTTATTGCTTTTTACCGGTCTCTTTGCACCTCTTAAATGACAGGTATAAAGCTTGACAGATGAGAATGGTGTAATAACCAAAAAAGAGCGGTTTGGAAGGATGTTTGAGGAGATTAGTGGGATTACAAACGAAAACTGAACGCCTTGAGTTTTAAAATACAGTAGTTAGTTATAATTTTTCTCAGTACACTTCTTTTTCCGTAGTAATTTGTTTAAATTTATGCTTTTTGAATTTTTGCCCGTTTCGCGCCAAATTGCAAAGTGTTTTTACGCTTCCATACTAGTTTTTCTGGCCAAAATTTTAAGGATAATCTTCCAAAACCCAAAAGAAAAAAGAAATAGCTAAAACTGTCTTGGTCCGGCAGGACACAATATTTCACACGGTAAAAATGAATTGAAAAAAAAAAAATCCAAAATTATTATTATAAATTGACGCTATTATAAAAGACTCGAAATGGATATTTTCTTAACTGTTAGCTGAAAACTAGCAAGCAAAGTGCTTCAATTTCAAAAGCTTTTTTTCGAGAGTCTATCGCTGATAATGGAGATTTGCCTATCGGAGATAAAGCAAGCCACGTCCTCTMATATTTTCTCACGGCTAAACGACACTAAAATTTAGTTCGTATACCCTAGCTAAACGCTTTTTATCTTTCATATCAAATCAGAAAGTAAAAAAATTATACAAGTTCTTAATRAATCATTCGATAAAACTTCGTAAGTTTATGAAGTAAGATGAAATCTAAGCAACGTGGTTTGATAATAAAACCGTGAAAAAGCTTCTTAATTAAGTGGACATTTTCTCATCTTCTATCCAAATCTTTTATTGAATCCCTTAATCTTTTATAATTTTTTGCTGCTAGCAATGTATTAGGTAGGATTCTAATTATGATTTATCGAGGAACATTTTATGATTAGTACAAAACATAACCGCAAACTTATTGTAAGCATGCTGTCTTTTTGGCGCGCTTTTACTTCACGTCACTTGCGCGCGCTCAGAAAATTTCCCGCTCTTTTTGCTTCACAAGGGACGCGCTAAAATTTGCTCAATTTTTTCGTGTATCAWTCACTTGTAATCTCTTAGCACAAAAGTTATATTAAACCAGCATGATTTCAATGTAACAAACAATTCTCACACAGAATTCTTCAAATACTACTGAGATTTCATGCAAATTCACGACTTTATTAATAAAACGCTTGATAATAAGATATTTTTTGTTATATTTTTATACAAATTCAATTTATTATAATTCATAACTGTACAATTTATACAAAGCAAAAATAGTGATATATATATATTAATTTATGGAAGCTTCTTCCGGAAACGTGTGCAAGGGGCCTTAATCAATCTATGCCCTTATTTWAAAACCCAGTCACTTTCGATCAAGCAATGCGTATCTAACGTTGAGAAATAGTAATACAAAACTGCCTCCTACACGTAAGAAAAAAAAACATATGCACTTCAAAACTGTAAGACTTCATTTCCCGTTCAATCTAAATAATAAAGATATATATTTACTCTGTTCTCCAGCAAAATTATAAATAAATATTGTGATGTCCTTTTGAAGGACTAATTTGAAGAGTCTGTTGTCCTTTGAGGAAAACCATAAATCMGACAGATTTCCTTGTCAAATATCAGCAGTGTGAAGCTGTGTCAATATAATTTCATTTGTCATTGCTCAGCCCGGTAGTCGTTAGCCGTGTTTTAATAAGAGTATTGTGCACCCGTGTTTAATGTTAATATGAAAAATGTCACATGGSCATGATAATTGAGTTGCTATATTGTGATATTTGTAATAAATATAGGTATGAACGGTTCGTAGAAGGATATAGACCCATTGAGTCCCGAGAGGAATTGTTCTGGGGACAAAGCAATGGATGTTTGATGCAATGGATATTCCTGCATTCTGATTGGATGTGTTACTATAGGCATTTCAGAGATAGTCCAGTAGTTTAGAGAAAAACAATTAAATGGATTGGCGACTGCCTCGCGTTTTTCCGAGTTTTTTTGTTGTTGTTGTTGTTGTTGAAATTTTCGGGGTTTCGGTTAATTTGCTTCTTCTTTTAAATGTGAGTTTAGTGTATTGAAAACATTTCTTGCAGTCATTGTTCAGTAAAAATTGCGTCTCAATGAAATTTCTAGCAGTAAAGCCACAGTAATTATGCTGATGCGTGCGCAACTTGTGCATGCGCCTCATTTACCATTCTATAAAACCACAGGCATCCCAGGCTAGCGTTCCTTGTCTCCAGCTGCTCAGTATCTGTTTGTTCTTGTTTGACAATCGACGCGTGTTGTGCACGTGATCATCACGAGTACTCAAAAGATGGTTCACGTGACTACTGCGTGATACAATTATTCCCGACATCCTCTGCGTACTGATCAGACACGAACGTTCTTAATGCGTCAATCTCTTGTTGTATTTCTTGAATTTTACGAATCTTGCTTTTCAAACCTGACAAATCATCTCGGAGGTCTTCAAACTCATCACCCCCTAATGATGGTCCTGATTCAACAAAAACATAAGGAGCATCTCAATCAGTCTGCAAGATTAAAACTAATAAATCTATGATTCAAAAGTTGCCATCTTGTGTCGTCATTATCAAAATGTCGTGACCTCATGACAACCTGTGGTGACGTCACTACCAACCATGTTGTGATGTCATTGCCATAATGTCGTCGAGTCATCACCATGTGAATTGATCACCACCACCGGTTGTGAGGTAATCTCTGTCATGTTATGACGTAATATATCAGTGTGACGTAATCTTTTTCTTTCAGAGAGGAAAGTTTTTTACAACATTTTACATGTTTATTAAAGTATTAGTAATAAAAATCTTACCTCTTAGTCCCAATAATAGCGACATATTTGGATCTTCTCCTTTCTTTCTGGCCATACATAGCTGTACAATAGCCTTTAGGTCTGATACGCACTTTGATAGCTGATCATTACAAATAAACAAAGTTATGAATGCTGTTTGGTCAGAACAACCCACCCTCCCCTCCCTAAGTAGTTTATCACTAAAGTGTTACGTACTTCCTTCCAAAGCTTTCTGCTCACTTCTGTCTTCTCAGATTCTTCCATCTTGGCTTTCTGAAACTAAAGGRGAACGTTTTTTCACTAAAGAATAAATTTGAATTAGTGATCGTTGGATAGCAGATATTATAGACTCGCTCTATTGCCTTCAAACAATGGTTTCAAGTCAAGGCATTTGGGTCAATACAATAAATATATTGATGGTTTTCAACCATTCCCAAGAGAATTAAATAACAAAAAGACACGGCGGCCATGTTGGAGGATATAACAAAAGAATTCATTGACAATTCTTTTGGTAAAGTCCTCCAACATGGCCGACGCGAAAACCATCAATAGAGACTGATCCAAATGAAAATATTGCTTGAAGACTTATTATTTGCTAATACTCCCGTTTAGATGTGAGAAAAGAGGGACTTAGAAGAATTGGTGYGAGAGAACTGAGAAGGAAGGAGAAAGAGAGGACGCTTTTCATCATTTCCTTCCCTCCCTCCCTCCCACAGGCTGATTTGTTACATCATACTGCAGACCACATTCAGATCATAACAAAGGAGAGTTTTATCATATCTATATCGGAAGTAACTCTACCTGGTCGCAGGACGTTTTAAGGTTTAGATTTTGTTCCATTAGATCTTGATTCTGAGACGATAACTGGACGAAGAACAATCCACTGTTAGTGAATATATTTGGCAACGTACCGAACAGGTACATGGAAAGGAGAACAAGCTTGCTAAATAGACCTCCTCGGCTCTAACGTAATGTTTTCCCATTTCAGACCACGTGTCATTCCCTAGAGTATCATTTCTTTATTTAAGGTTTGCACATGAGAAGACACATGAATATGGGTAAAACTCAAACAAAGAATATTCTTCTCAAGGGTATGACACGTGGTCTGAAATGGGATAATATTACGCTCGAGCTCTACAGAGCCGAGGAGGTCTATCGGGTCTCTGCTATAGTAGAATGCTAATTTTCCATATAGTGACAGACAGGAAGGGAGAGAAAGATAGCGGAAGGATGGACCAAATCCACTTGGGCGTAATGTTTTTCCATTTAAAACTACGCGTCATTCCCTAGAGTATTATTTCTTTGTTTAACGGTTGCACATAAGAAGGCGAATATGGATACAACTCAAACAAAGAATCTTGTTCTCAAGAGAATGACACGTGGTGTGAAATAAGAAAACATCATGCCCAGGTGGATTAAGAGTATTATTTCATTGTTTAATGGTGGCATATGAGAAGACACTTGAATATGGATACAACTCAAACAAAGAATCTTGTTCTCAAGAGATCGAGAATGACACATGGTCTGAAATGAGAAAACATCACGCCTGCGTGCAGCCGAMCTAACTAACTATTAAGTCCGAGAGAAAATATTCGAGAGAAAAGTCCGGCTGCACGCAGGCTAGAAAACATCACGCCCAGGTGGAAGATTGCTTACTTCTTTAAGTGATTTTCTCAGTTGTTGTACTGTTTTGTCTTTTGATGCTATTTCATCTCGAAGAGCCACCACTGTGTCCTGTAAAGAAAGAAACAAAAAATGACAAAATGAACTTAATGGATGGCTTTTTAGTAAGACCTAATATAGGAAACGCACTAGGATTTCGTATCTTCTAGATGGCTTCCAAATTTTATCGCAAAATTTAAAGAAAATGAAGACCGGCAAGGTTTCTATGAATCTTCAACTGACCTCTTCCTGTGCAAGGCGTTCTTCTAGTCCCTTCTGTGATTTTTGTGTCTGTGCGTGTAATGCTTTCATTTTCTTGTGTTTAGCCTCTAGAATCTAGAACACGAATAAAAAATAAATGAATGAATGAAACAAACTGGCTGGGAAAATACCGGATGTTAAAAGTGTTATACCCGGAACAAACATGAAATTGGAGAAGAAAGAGACCCACTTATCTATATTTGCTGCAGAGAAAAAGAACTTGGGGGTGCTTGATGGACTATTGGTTACACTGCTTAGAGTTACCTCGAGCACCTCATAGTTGATCAAAGTCTAGGCAAGGCTCACAGACCAAGTTGGAATTTGGTTTAGCCAAAAACTGGAGATCATTCAGAAAAACCTTTGAATCAAGAGAGACCCCCCAATGAACTATCCTCACATAAGATGGTGAGTCCAAGAATCAGACCCCATATAGACTGAGAGCTAAGTCCCTCTATTTCTCTTGGTCACCATCCATCTGTCTGTCCGTGTTGATTGGTCGAAGGACTTTTGACTCGTAACCAATCTTCCTCAACTAATCGACACGGACAGACAGACAGACAGTGACCAAGGGAAATAGAGTCTAGACCCTATACCCCACAGGTAAGATACGAGTGCACAACTGATACTTTACCCTTGATTCCCCACCCCAGCTTACATTAGTTCATCATACCTTTTTCATTCTATTCAACTCGGATTCTAATCTTTCATTTTCCATTTTAAGGTCATCGAACTCAATCTCTGATACTGGTCCATTCTTCTTGTACTTCTCCAAGTTTGTCTCGAGACTATAAACGCATAAAACATTTTTTGTGAGGAACACAAGAAGAAGTATTTTGTCCTTTTGCAAGATAAAGCAAAGCAAATTTTGGTGAGCCAGGTTCTATGAAGGGTGGATAGTGCTATCCAGCAGATAAATCCTTTACAAGTGGATAAGTCAATGCTGTCATCCAATAAATTTATCCACTGGATAAGGATTTATCCATTGGATAGCRTTATCCACCCTTTGTACAACCRGGCCCTGAAGAATTGCATCATCTATTTATTTTTCACTCATCCATTAATTAATTAATTMATGTTAACTCGTCTCCAAGGCTGTACACAATAGACACRGTGTCCAAGCATTTGAAAAGCTTACCTTGAAACTTTCTCTTTGAGAGCTTTGTTTTCTTTATGGAATTTCTTGGCATCCTCAGACTGTTTAAAAAGAAATTAAGGTATAAAAAAAAACATTCTGTGGGGGGGGGGGGGGGGGGGTATTGGGAAAATGAACAAGGCTGGGAGAGGTGACGAAGAGAGGGAAGCACAGAGAAAATACAGAGAGGACACAAGAAAAAAGGGTTAGSAGAAAGGCAAGCTTAGAGAAATCATGGTTTATTCAGAGACCTACCCTTACTTGCTTGCATAAAGCTCTCTTATGATAATTACATAACAATATACCATTGTACTAAATCAATACTTGAATGTAGTGGTAKTGCRTGTGGAGGGAACCTCASGGAAAGAGCCCCATATGGGGAGTGGTGGTTGTAAAATATCATCATCATCATCATCATTACTAKTATTATACTTACTGGTGCTCTTATCTTAAAGACCCATTGCCACTTACCGTGATGCACCGCGGTCACAGATGAATTTTGTGGTCCAAGAAATTCAACGATTCATTTATTGAATAGTAACGTCATATTAAATCCTTTTCCGACATAGCACTAAGGCACAATAATGATTCTTTTACATTCTTTTAAGAGTTTATTCAAAAGGTTAGAATTGTTTTTTCAGTGGTGACACGATTCAAAATGTAAACAAATTGTGATGCATCACGGTAAGTGGCAATGGGTCTTTAAGCGAGCTTCATGCAACCAGGTCCTGGCTAGTAAAATCATATTTCATCTCTAGTAGACTGATATAGATCACATACCTTTGTTCCATAAGCCTTGTTAATTTGAGCCAGTTTTCTATCTTTACTTGAGATGATGTCCTTCAACTGTGAACACTCTTCACGAACTTCTTTCAGTTACAAAATGGTTAAAGGTACAAACAGTACAGTACAAACCCTTGTGACAAACGAAAAATCTAAAGCAAACAATCTTGGTCCCTAGACCCATTTAAATTTGGTGTTGTGGGTACCAATCAATATTTTGGAAGCCCTTGTCTGCACAAATGAAGTGAGTTCTGGGACACCGCCACCCGGTTAGCTCAGTTGGTAMGAGCGTTGGTCTGTTGTGCGGGAGGTCGTGGTTCCAGCCTCAGCTGGACCAACACTCGGGGTCTTAAAATAACAGTTACTAAGGAGAAGGTGCTGCCTTTGTAATTACATCTGCAAATGGTTAGACCTTCACATGGCTTGGATGATCACTTTAATGGCAGTCCTGTCCCTTATTAACTAGAGACGTTAACAGAGGACCACGAGTTTATCAGTTGAATTACTGTCAAGTGTTATCCTCTATAAACAAAATTATTTTATTTTATTTTATTTTTTACACATTTGGACCCCAAGCATTGTGTTGTGGGTGCCAATCAATATTTCGGAAACCCTTGTCAACACAAGTGAAGTGAGTCCTGGGACACATTTGAATCCCAAGCATTGTGTTGTGGGTGCCAATCAATATTTAGGAAGCCCTTGTCAACATGAGTGAAGTGAGTTCTGGGACACATTTAGGTCCTAAGCGTTGTGTTGTGGGTGCCAATCAATATTTAGGAAGCCCTCTTTCTAGTGAATGGGAACTGGTTTGTTCCAGAAAATCATTTAATGAAAGAATTCAAAGGATATTGTTTTGATAGTGTTCTGGTGTTCTTCAGTGGTGGGCACATCTGATAAATACCGTTCAAGACTCTCCATACGACGTCTACAAAATAATCAGAAGAATTATCAACAAAATTGACTCTGAGAAGAAAGTTGGACCAGAATAGGCAGGGCCGTAACTAAGGGGGAAGCACAGGGTGCACGTGCACCCCCCTATAAAAGCTTAAGGTCTGCTCATACATCTCCTTTTCTTTTTTTTCTTTTTTGGTTCTGCTTAGTTTTGGTTGAGTTGGTAATAAAAAAAACGATCAATGGTCCGATTTTATTCGATGTGCACCCCCCTATAAAAGCTTAAGGTCCGCTCATACATCTCCTTTTCTTTTTTTTCTTTTTTCTTTTTTTTTTGATTCTGCTTAGTTTTGGTTGAGTTGGTAATAAAAAAAACGATCAATGGTCCGATTTTATTCGATGTGTACCCTCCCTGTAAAAGTTCTGGTTACGGCCCTAATAGGGGTTCAAAATCAATTCTCACTTGACATTCAGGTGTTCTTGTTTAGAACATTCTATCTTGTTCTGCAGTTCAGATATCAGCTTGTCCTTATCTGATAGCTGTTTAAAATGAGAAAATATTAGTCATGGTATCAAAATGTACTGAGTTATTTCATAAAAAAAGGAATAAATGGATGAATAGTGGGTGAGTGGTAGGATGAATGGATGGATGGATGGGTGGGTGGGTGGATGGATGGATGGGTGGGTGGGTGGATGGATGGATGGTTGGATAGATGAGTGGGTGGGTGGATAGATGGATAGATGAGTGGGTGGGTAAATGGGTGGGTGGATGGATGGTTGGATGAACAAACACCTCACCTGATTCTGTAAAGATTCTACATCTTTGYTTTTCMCGGCTGCAGTATCCTTCACACAAGCATCCATCTTGTCAAGAAGATATTCTGTCTCCCTGTAACATAAAAGAACCAATTAATTAAGGGACCATTACATAGCAGCTCACTATTGCAATCACCTCTCACCTCTAGCATCTAAGGTTTGATTCCTGGACTCAGCATCACATGTGAGGGAATCAAGGTTGGTGTAAGTGGCAAGCGAGGGGGGAACTCGCCCCCAGAAACGTTTTACTGAACCTAAGGATWTAGATCTTTTGTGAGATAGGGAACATGGTGCATTGTGGTCTAGCTTCGGTAGAACCTTTGTTTGTCATGCCTTTTATGGTATTGTTTGTACCCAAGCTAGACCACAATGCATTGTGTTTATCTAACTCAGAAAAGCTCTATCGCAGGAAACAAAGAAAAGCTCTATTGGGGGCCACAGAGTYATCAGTGTTTTTTAACTACTGTTATGTGTTTACCCTCTCAAAATATAGCCTATTATTATTTATTTATTACACTCTTACAGTGCGACTACTCCAACCAAAGCCACCTCGACAAATTTTCCACAAATTATCCAATAGTGTTTGAGTATTTAGACAATAGATTAGCGGCAGATTTTGAATTGAAATATTTATGCCGTTGTTCCAGTTGGTAAAACTAAATGATGAAGAAGAGCTTGTAAATAATATATTTTCTTCGCAAATTAGTGATTCGTGTCACCAAAGATATAGAAAAATAGTAATGTACGAYTTCAAATACGACAGGAAAGCAAATTAGAGACCGTATAAAACACAGTCTTTATGAYTACAGTTTGTTTCTTCCAGACAAAGATATCATCAGGCTGACACTGTYAGATYTTATCACTATGTTGCTATGCGACAGCACATTTATATTCGACARCAAAGGTGCCGGCAGTCTTCTAAGCCGTGTAAACCCATGGATATTTGTCCGATTTGTAGCAATTCTATTGTCCAGATTCCTACTTTTGATTGGCTAATTTGTGGAAAATTTGTCGAGGTAGCTTTGGTTGGAGTAGTCGCACTGTAAGATGAAACATGTCTGTGTGCTTATTTGAGGGAAAATGGTTACCTTCTTCCCCCCACCTTTGAGACATTGCTATGTCCTTGGGTCATGTAATAGTAGTGACCTCATTTCTCACCCAAATGATTCCCAAAAAAGATACTACGGCATGTAAAACGTAAAGATAATATATTGGGATTAGAAATACCCTAGTTTTCTTTGTAGTTTATCTATCTCTGCATCTTTTTCTGCTGCCATCTGTGATAACTGCGCTCGGAGCTGTGCCATCTCATAGTGGTACTCCTGGAGCTTGAGTGTCACTACACTGTCTTGATCACATGACTTGATGAGGAGTGCATGCTGTAGTTTAGCATCCATACTGAGTTGGTTGTGTTGAAGTTGGGCAATAGTTTTCTTTTGTCTGTGGTAAATAAATGCATCGTATCTATAGTGGACTCCTGTTATCTTGTGAAAAGGTTCAAGAAATTAGGGGTTCAAAATATCCACAGGGTAAAATTTTAGCCCCCTTCACAATTCCCTGCACCATCTTGAAAAATAACCATTACCTTTCAATAATTTGATCCTTTTGACAGATCAAGTCATCCTTGGCCCTCRGCAATGAGTCCCACTTATCTCCATCATCCGTACTGTGAGTACTAGATGGTGTTCTTGATCTGGATGAACTCTTGGGTGTGGCATACCCATCTAGGGCACTGGAGTCTTGCCGCAGAGGTGCAACATATGCTATAGATGCATTTGTTCCATACCCTAGATCAAATTTATATGGTTTTAGTATAATTTTAGACTTGAATACAATTATTCAGATCAGGCTGATTATGGGGAATATAAATTTACCTTGCCGCTTGAAGGCTTACATCCGGGTAAATATTCCACTAATAATCACTTTGCCTTTGGCRAATAATATTGTTAAATAATTGAAGTTTGAAAGAATGAAAAAGGGAAAWATGGATATTCTCTGTCTGGTTGTTCTCATTTTTTCTCCCTGCAGAGAACAAATGGGCAAAAATTCCTTTTTTGCATTAAAAAGGAGGATCTTTTTTCTATATTTTGTATTTCCTTATTGGTGGGCTACCTGTGTCTACAGGAAGCCCAGGGAAGAAAAGACACAATGAGTGGTGACTGTGCATAAGGTGGCTGAAAGGAGTGGAGGACAGGCAAACAAACAGCTATATACAGGGWACTATGAGCTATAAAATAATGTACCTTGTTCATAAAGGACATTTCCTTGGGTTAATAGCTGAGGTGCATTACCACCATACTGATAGTTAGCAGGAATCGCAGGTGCTGTCCCATACATCTGAATACAATAAAATGATATTAATGATATCACAAGTCTCAATATACCACAGGAACCCCAATACTTGGGTTCTCCAGTTTTCCTCCATCTGCAGAACCTGACGTGCTAATTCCAATTTGATCTGTGAGTTAGCCATGCCCTGACTTTGATCATCCCAGAGTTTGTTTCAGGGTTCAATCTGTGAGTTAGCCATGCCTTGACTTAGATCAGCCCAGAGTTTGTTTCAGGGTTCAATCTGTGAGTTAGCCATGCCCTGAAGTTTAGATCA